GCCGACACTGCCAGCGAGCTCTCTGTGGCCTTGAGCCCCAAGTACTTAGCCAGAAATGTCATTAATCTCAACGGTGTCGCGGCCGTCCAAGTCGGCCGCGGCCTCGAGCGCATCGCGACCGAAGGCAGTCGGGACGGTTCACTTCTGTCATGGTGGCGACCAGGCCATCGCGAAGTGGACGCCTGGTGGAGGTTTGAGGCTGGCAAACTAAACCTTGTCGAGCTCCTCGGCCCCGACCGCGGTAAAACATGTTATCTCTTATTCCTTTAGTAGCTGCTGGGCGCTGCTTAGGAGATCTCGTGAAGGACGAGCTCCAAGTAGCAGGCGCTCGGGGAAGTGTTGTCGATCTTTCGGAAGCCGGCGCGCGCCCCGACGATTCCATGCACGTCGAAGTGAGGCCCTCCACCATCGAGGAGGGGTCCCACGAAGAGTCCTTGACCGATCACTACCTCGTCGATGCCGCATGGGGGACCTCGACGACCGACAGGCACCAATGGAGAATTTGTTGCTCACAGAGTCGGTCTCCTTCGAGAAGATCTTAGAGTCGGAGACACAACCTGCTCCGTCATGCCCGCTACCACACGTCCTGCCCACAGAAGTGTGTCAGCAACACCACCACTTCACAGCGGGTGCTGCACCTCTCGAGACCACATAGGCCATCGACACCGACGAGGCCAGGAACGCCCACGTGCACGTTTTGGCCCCGGACGAGATGCACCAACTCAGGCTAGATCATCCTGCCCCCGACGGTCACTGTGCGCGCCTCCAGGACCACGCGGCAGGAACGCAGGAGGCAGTTGTCGAACGTGACGCTGACTTGCTCACCCCTGAAGAGTTTCGGGGCACGCCGCAGCCGTCGCGGACGCTGTGCTCGAGGAGCTGCAAGTCTGGGTGGATCACAACTGCTTCGCGCGGCGTCGGCGCCAAGGAGCGCGCGACATCCTTGACTGCAGGTGGGTGGGCAAGTGGAAATGGACGCGAGGTAATTCAGACCCATCTCACGAGGTGCGAATCATTTGTGCGAGGCTGACCCTTCGAGGCCTCGAGGGCGCCGACAACGTTCTCATCGCCGCGCGCGCAGGCGCCCCATTGCGACTCCCAGCGCGCATCTGTCTCCGAGGCGGCCTGCCGAGGATGGGTGATCGACGCGCGGACGTCAAGAGGGCCTTCCTGACAGGCGGCAGCCACCAGAAACTTGCGGAGGCAACAGGTGAGGGAGAGCGCGAGTTTAAATATGAGCTCTCCATGCCGTCGTAGTCCTGCGCAAAAGGGCACGACGATTTTGACCCAGTATTTAGTCTTCCATGTGGGGAATCCAGGCACTGGGTGCAAGGATGCTTAGGAATGCTGGTTAAAATGAACCAAACCACCACAGCACGAAATGTCAACGAACGTATCGCCAACCTCAAGGACGGCGAGCTCGTCCTACTGGCCACCAAGCTTGTTTCATAACATCAGGGTCACGGGATCACCTCAAGAGAAGGCCACGTTATGTCAATGCCTGGAGGATGCTTCTGGGACAGTTGAGCTGGATGTTAGCGAAGGAACTTTGGCTTGCTGTGGGGGACGTCGTTCCCCCGCACACAACGGTGGATGTGAGCTGGGCCAGATCGAGTACATTCAGGTGCTGAAAACAAGCGGAAGCTCTGAGCTGTCTTGCAAATCCAACTCCGAGCTCGCTGGGGCAAGCCTGGCCAAACTGTGCCTCATTCTGCTGGTGGCTCTAGCTGTCGCGCCCAACGCCCAAATCGATCTGCAGGTCTACGTAGTTGCACTTCAGCGCCACGCAGCGGCGCCAGCGAGCGGCCACATACGGAAGCTCAACATGCTGGTGAGATGCGCACGGACCACCCCATTACGAAACCATTATCCACCCATGTTTTGTGCACGCAAGCTCGCAATGCACAGCGACGCAGCATTCCGAGAGGAACAGGAGAAGGGCATCGACGCAGGGCGAGCCCTGCGAGGAGCCACTTTCTCGCGCAATGACACAGGATACACGTGGACTCACCGAGAGTTCGTTGGCAAGCAAACGCGTCACTTACTGGGCTAGCAGTGCGCGGCGCTCCAAAAGTTAGGCGAAGTACCTTCCCGAGTGAGCTGATGGCCGCGATCGGTTCAACGCATCGCGGCCTCGCTCTAGCCGCCGCTCCCCATGATGTACTCAAAGGGCCCCGTGGCCCTGAAGCGGCACGTCGCCGACGAGATGGTCGACAGGCCAGTCGCGCTGCAAATCGAGCTCTGCCTCGATTTGATGGCAGTGGTCACGGCCGTCACAGCTACGAGACGTAAGCCTCCGGCAGAACACTCGCTGCTGCCTCGTGTGCTGTGGCTCCACGACCTCCTGAGCTCGGGCCATCTATGGGCACGGTGCCAGGGGATTCCCGTGACGTGATTGCGGACGGACTGACCGCGGGCAGCATGGGTAGACCTGCCTTTCGCAATGTGGCCAGTGGCTCTCGTCAGCAGTCACATGCGCCGCGCGCAGTCACCCTCTCGTCGGCTGGCAAGCCCACCGTGCGATCAGGGCACGAGCACCAGTCGACTTCCGACAGCTAACTCATATCACCATGCGCATAGGGTTTACGGGTGCTCCGTCTTCCTCGGAACCATTGGCCCTCCCCTATCTTCATCTTTTCGGAAGGTCTGTCGCATGGCACATGGCGGCTGGGGGGATGTTGCAGCGCGGCAGTTCGGGAGAGTATGCTGTTGGGGGTGTATGTTGCAGTGGTGGGCATTCGCTGCGACATGAGAGTAGGTGAGCGCGCGTGCTGACTAGCTGACGCAGAAGTGGCAGGACAGAGCAGGGAGAAGCATTGACGATGCCGCTGCCGCTTTTCATCAGCAGGCTTGTGCGCTGCCTGGCCGAGGCGCGCTGAGCTGTCGGCTGTTGCGCGCGCGCGCTGCCAGGCCCGCGCGCGGGCTCTCGCCGCGCGCGGCCGCGCGCTGGCGGCTACCCGCTGCCGCGCGCGCGTGCCACCATGCATCAGAGTGCGCCGCCAGAGCCCCCAGGTCCGCCGCCGCCTCGCCGCTCGCGCTCCACGCTTTTGTCTTCTTTGATTTCCACGGAGGAAGTAGCGTTGTCAGAAGATGCAGCGCTCGCATCAACTGCAGGCCGAGTTGCGCCACGGGCTCGGTCTGCGACGCCCCCTTCAGGCACGTGGGCAATAAGCGACGGCCCATCGGGGCCGCTGGCAATGGCCCGGCCTCCCAGCATGCCTCCGATGATGCCGCCGCCGCGCAGAACCCAAGGTCGCGAAGTGGAGCGCCTTGTGCAGCAGTCCAACGAGACAATGCGAGTGGCATTGCAGTCGCTGTATTGCAGGGCCGCGTTCAGGCTCAAGGGCGTCCCCGTTCCCGGGCTCGCCCACCATCTCCGCGCAGACGCCGCGCGGCAGCCGTGTCTCACTCGCGGCTGATGCCTACCAGTAAGGCACCAGCGATGACATCGACCCCGCAGCGTGCGCCGCATCCTCCAGAAATGACGGCCGCGGTGCTCTCGGAGGACGCTCGGCCGTTCGCCGAGCTCGACGAGGAGATTCTGAACTTCGTGCGCAATTGGCGTCATGCGGATCTGGTGCCAGATCAGGTACTGCGTCGCACCTGGGTCAGCGTCGACGCGATGGATCCCGAATTCCGCGCAGCATTCACATCCGAAGAGCGGGGAATCCACGGCTGGGCAAATTAACTATCCGAGGGCCACGCCTGCAAATGTCCCGCTGAGTATCGCGCTCGTGATGTTCGCGACGAGGCCCCACCGCCCTTGGACTTCGTGGAGCCCTAAGCAGCGAGACGAATGCAGGCGTTGCTGGTCGCCGATGAACGCGGGGTCCTGGCCAGGATTCGGTCAGGCTCCGTTTGCCGAGCTCGACGGTGCGTTGCTCGGCATCCATCGTCCAAGTGCCGTCCGCCTGGCCGCGAGGGGCCGGCGGGGCTGTCGCCGCGTGCAGTGCGCCCCCCTCCGCCTGCGGGTGAGCGAGTGCCGCGCGCTCCACTTCGTCGCCACCGCTCGCCAAAGGGTCAGCCACAGTCGCCATCTGGCGAGGCTGCGTGCGACAGGGCCAGCGCGGCTCGCGGTTCGAGCTGGAGACCGAGGCTGCCTTGCCCGTCGATTCCACGCCCGTTCTGGACTTGGGCGGGGGCCGCGGCGCCCGTTGGCTTCCGAGGGCGCACCGCGGTGATAGCCGGCCAGGGCAAAGGCGAGAGCAAGGACAAGAGCGAGCCCGCGCCGGACGACGCCGCCGAGGGCTGGGGAGAAGGTCGAGCGACGGGGCGCCGGCGCGGCCCTCCGCGCGGCTGCGATCGGAGCGTGCCCCATGGATCGTGAGGCGATCGTACCAAAATAGTGGGCACATCCCTGAAGGCCTATCTCCATCCATCACCTTCTCTCCCGCCTGCCAGGTCAAGGCACTGCGCGCCCCCATTTCGCCACTCGCGTGACCCTCAGGACAGGCTTTCGGACGCCATGTCTGCGGCCCGAGGTCACCAGCATCACTCGCGCGCGTGAGCTCCTCCAGTGCCGCTCTTACGAGCACGAGCGAGCTCGCCAGCGCAGTGGGTGAGCTCGCGCCCCCATGCGCGCCCGTTAGGTCAGACAACGACGGTGTCTCCCTGCCGAGTCTAGAATGTGCTTGTGGTTGGACAGGTATGGTTCCTTTTTAATTTTTCCCTCCTCCGCCAAATCTGTTCGATCGCCCGCGCAATGCCGACTCAAATCGGCGAGGTCGCCGCTGTTTGGGCCCGGTCGTCGGCGCATATCTATTTGCTGCATGAACAGCCCCGCAATACAAATCTCATTGCCGGACAGCTTCCAACCCCTGCAATTCTAGTTCCTCTTCCTCTTCCTCCAACTCCGCCTCCTTCTCATCCTCCTCCAACCCCCCTCCCCAGCACCCCCCCTCCCCCCCCCCCCTTTTCCCTCCTTCCCTCCCTCCCTGTCCCCACGGCGTTGCCTTGAGGGTGGTGGTCGACGCCTCCGCGGCCCCCTTCCCCTGGCGGAGGTCCCAGCGCCGCGCGCGCTCGCGGCCTCCGACCCGCAGCTCGCCGCCCGGGCCAGCGGCGGCGCCCCGCCCACGACCACGGCCAGAGGGGGGGTCCTCGGGGGCCGTGGGCGATCCAGGGGCGGGGCTGGTCGCCGACGAGGGAAAAAGAGAAGGCGGAGAAGGACCAGTGTCAACCCAAGAGTTCAACGATGTTGGAATTAACCTCCCCTCCAAGCTCCCTCCACATAGGTGCCTGCAGCGGTTCATTTCCATTGAGGGAACTGCTTCGTTGGAAAACCACTTTTGGGAGATCCTGAAGCGTGCCAGAACATTGTTCTCGGGATTTCAACGCCACGTATCAACCTGATTGCCGCGTCTCGTCCCATTTTTGGGACTTCAACACCGCGAATCAACATAACTGTTGCGCCCGCGTAATCCTGAACCCTTCCAGAACACCATGTGTGGTACGTTTGCGCGGCGCTAACGCGAGAGCCACATTTTGAAAAAGAGCCGCCCTCAATCCGTGAAGCTCTTGCGAGTTTTAAAAGCAAATGTGCGCGGCGCTAAGGCGAGAACCACATTTTGAAAACGACCCGCCCTCAATACGTTAAGATTTTGTTATCTTTGCAACGAGTGTGTGCTATGCTACGGCGAGAGCCACATTTTGAAAACCACCCGCCCTCAATCCGTGAAATTTTTGGTAATTCTTAAAAACGAATGTGCGCGGCGCTAAAGCGAGAGTCACATTTCGAAAACGACCCGCCCTCCATCTGTGAAGCCGTTGTCACTTGTTAGAGCTTCAGAGTCATGGATGGTGTGGAAGTCTCAGGTGCAACGCCCGGCCCGCCCTAAAAAGTAGCCTCGGGGTGCGACAGGGAGACGTTATCTATAAGGAGAAGGAATGGAGGATGATGATGAGGAGGAGGACGAGGACGAGGACGAGGAGGACGAGGAGGACGAGGAGGAGGAGGAGGCGAAGGAACAGGAGGACTAGGAGGAGGAGGAGGAGGAGGAGGAGGAGGAGGAGGAAGGCCGAGGACGAAGGACGAAACGGAAGGGCGAAGATGGACGAGGGAGGAGGAGGAGGGACGCGGGACGAGGGAGGAGGAGGGACGAGGGAGGATTATTGTTCGATCCAGCCACAGGCAGAGTTGAACGGTTTATCTCAAGAGCCTTTTTTTTGGTCTGAATGGAGGCAAGCTTGGAAGTGCCTGGTGGCTACGCAGCCGCAACCAAGACACATCGTTCTCCCAAACTCCTCATGATAAGCTAAGGTGTGGGAGCTGTGGCCATCATGGTCGTTGACCGTGCTCTTACCTGGCACCAGGACCATCCCCCGAAACAGGCCCCGGTGGCAGGGGGTCCGTAAGCAACTTATGAAGCATCCTGTGCGGAGCCTTGCATCCACAGTTATGGTAGCGCACTTGGGACCCGATCCCAAGGACGGGTTTGTGTGACGTCAGCAATAATTGAATCTTGATCTCCCTGCGCTTCGGGGGCAGCCTGGCTTCCCCGGGCGCACGGTCTGCTCCCTTTTCGATGCAAGCTCGCAAGTTGTGGCCGAGGTGCTGCCTGACCTGAAGAGCAATGGCGTGTGCAAAGGACCTGCTGTCCTCGTGTCTCTGGGCAACTCTGCGTTCCTCGACCCACTGGTTAGACATCTTGCCCGCAAGCTCACTCATGGGAAAGAGCCAGGGGTCGGCTGCCTGCGCGCTGACATCTTCAGTCTCCCTGTGATTCGCAACGTTGGCCGAAGCACTGCCTTGGAAGGTGCTACTTCTGGCGGGTCCCAATCGGAATATAATAGAAGTTCTTGACAACATCGGATGAGTCAGTGTCGCAACAAGCATTGGCAACTGGCAGGACCTCTTCTGGAAGCTGGAGAGACTCGGGGCCTCTCCTCTGTTCACTGGCTGGCACCACCCAGGCACATCGCCGAAGGCTACCCTGCGCGAGGAGAAGGAGGAAAGAGGAAGGAGGAGGGACTCGACTCGACTCGAGACCGCGCCCTCGACACTCAGGAATCACGCTCTCGCTTTGGCTGATCTCACGAATTATTTGGGAATCGCACTATCGCTCGAGACTTCCTCTCGATTCATGCAGGACGCACGCTTCAGCAACCCCACTGCCCAACCTGGCCGCCTGAGCCCGCCTTCCCGACCCGCCTGTTAGGGTCTACCCGCCCGATCTGCCCGTCGAGGGTTTGTGATATGCGTGTTGAATGGCACGCGAGCAGATCAGAGCTAACAGTCTTAATATGATAGTTGTTGTTGTTGTCGTCGCAGTCGTCGTCGTCATTGTTGTTGCTGTTGTTGTTGTTGTTGTTGGTGTTGTTGTTGTTGTTGTTGTTGTTGTTGTTGTTGTTGTTGTTGGTTGTGGCGGTGGTGTTGTTGTTGTTGGTCTTAACTTCTCATTTCCAAAGAGAATTTAGTTTTGACCCCCCCCCATGCGCATTATGTTTTTCAGTTGAAGTGCCGCTCCTGGGGCTCGCGCCTTGTTTTTTGCAATGGAAAGTCTCGGGCTTCAGACTGCGCTGATGGCCCCCGCATTACAATAACAACACTTGCTCCCGCTTGACACTTCTGCACAATGTATTCAAAATCGAGCTCTCGCGCGGCGGGATACCCGCATGTTTTTTTTCAGAAATCGCGCTCTCGAGTGGTACGCGCCATTTATTGAAACACCGCGCCCCAAACTCTGAGGAATCACGCCCTTGCCTTGGACTTCCTAACCGATTTCCTTGGGAATCGCGCTATCGCTCGAGACCTCCTCGCGATTCATGCGTGACCGACGTTTCAGCGACCCGCCCGCTCGACCCGCCGGGTCGGCCCGCCCGACCCGCCATTCTGGTTCGGCCGCTGTTTTTTCTGCTTCTAAACGCCCTTCTGCTAATCTCTCTTGTGTTCCATCCTTCTACCTCCCCTGTCCCTTCCATCCTCGCTTCTTTTCCTTCTTCCCCCCCTCCTGCTGATCTCTCTCGTGCTCCATCTTTTTGCCTTCTCCTTGTCCCTTCCCTCCCCCCTCCTTTCCCCTGTGCTGGGGACTGCGTCAACTACACGTGGCGGGTGAGGAAGATCGATCCCCAAGGGGGGTACGATCGAAGACGGAGAGGGTTGGGCATTGAGGGCTTGGGATTTAGGTGTTGAGCGACACGCGCGCCAACAGGAGAGCGACCAGTCTCAACACGACTGTTGTGGGGCACTCGCACCCGGAGAATATCTTTGCCTGCTGCACGGAGGGTTGGCGGAGCGCTCTCGCTCGAGCGTGGGCGCCGTGTTCCCTCGTGCCGATGTCCACGGCACCGGGCCCCCGTCGGCCGACACGGTAGATGACCGCACAAAAATCAGTGACCGAAAACGTATGCGAAGTTGTGATCGAGCACGTCTGTGGGGAAAAACACACACTGAGGGGAACAGCAAAAAAACACGTGTGTTTTTTCCCCACAGACTGTGTGTTTTTTCCGCGCAGTGTGTTTTTTCCTCACAGTGTGTGTTTTTTCCCCACAGATGTGTGTTTTTTCCCCACCGTGTGTTTTTTTCCCCACAGGCTTTTTCCCCACAGAAGTTGTGATCGAGAACGTCGGGTGGCCGAACATCTGACCGAAGTTGAGCACCGTCTCGGCTCCGAGCCAGACATCTCGGCCACGCCCGGGGCGCGGTCGGAGATGCTCGGGCGCAGGTTTCGGCCAGACACGGGCTGGGAGTCGGGCGCCGTTTCGGCCACGACGCCTCGCTGCGAGAGACGAGGCTGCGCGTGACGATGCCCCGCCTCTCGCTGTCGCCGGCTTGTGCCTCCGGCGGCTGGAGCGGGGCGACGGGCGGCTGAGAGGCAGGCGCCCCAGGGCGATGCGCCCATCTCCTTGGCACCGCTCGGACGTGTGCACCCCTTCCTCCGCGAGGGCCATCGAGGAGCGTTTTGGATCATCTTCTGAAGAAACAGACGCACGAAACCGAAACACGCGCTGGGACTGGACGTCCGAGCGATGGCAAGTCTCTCGTCGTCGCCTCTCTGTTCCTCCTCCGCGCGCGAGAGAGAGAGAGAGAGAGAGCGCGTGGCGACGAGCGGCCGGAATGCGCAGGCGTCCCAGGGCCTGACCTCCAAGGCGAGGCCGCCGACCCCGCCGCCGGGGCGACTGCCGGCCCCAACGAGGCCGGCGCCCGAAGGCGGTTGCCGCAGCGCCGCCGCGCCGCCGCGTCAGTCTCGGATTCGGGCTGCGGGGCCCTTGGCACAGGGGGTCTCAGAGATGTGCGCAATACTTCGTGCAATCCTTCGTGCGGGGTGCGCACGTCGTGCAAGATCAGCACGTGGCTGCCACGCGCCATGCGCCACGGGATGAGCTCCTGCATGTTGTTTTCGCGACCCCCTCACGAAAGACCCCTTTTTCCCTGGAGCCAGCGGTCGCCCGTCGTCCGTCATCTGTCGCCCGTCCGGCTTCGCGTCACAGGGCCTCCCGGGACCCGTCGAGGACGGTTTTCGGAGGGCTTTCCACGACAGGACGGTTTTCTGCGACACTTCGGCCTCCCCGCCTGCTGTGGCAATGGGACCACATTCAACCCCGTGGATAATCGATACAGGGATTCAAATGTTAAGCCATTCCAGTGAGCCTGGCATCGAGCCTGGCCGGGCCCCCTCCGGACCCAGGACTCAGGAGGAGGAGGAGGAGGAGGAGGAGGAGGAGGAGGGAGATGCTTGATTATCTGGGGGCTGGGATTAAGCAAGTCCAGCGAGCCCTGGAGGCCGCCGCTCGTCCCTCCCCCGCCGTCCGTCGCTGGCCAGCAGTCCGGCCTGGCGTCTCTGGGCCTGGGCCCAGAAAGTCCAGGGCTCGTCCTCCGCCCTCCTCCTCCTCCTCCTCCTCCTCCGCCTCCTTCTCCTCCTCCGCCTCCTCCTCCTCCTCCTCCGCCTCCTCCTCCTTCTCCTCCTCCTCCGCCTCCTCCTCCTCCTCCTCCGCCTCCTCCTCCTCCTCCTCCTCCAGGGATTTGGCCGTCCCCCCCAAACGACCGAGCCCTTCCCGAAGCCCTCCGAGAAGCCTCCCCGGAGGGTCCCGGGAGGGTCTCGGGAGGGGTCTGCTCGTGCTGCGGGAGGGGAAAGGAGGAGGAGGAGGAGGAGGAGGAGGAGGAGGAGGGGGAGGAGGGGGAGGGGGGAGGAGGGGGAGGAGGTGAGGAGGAGGAGGAGGCGGAGGAGGAGGAGGAGGAGGAGGAGGAGGAGGAGGAGGAGAAGGACAAGGAGGAGGAGGAGAAAGACAAGGAGGAGGAGAAGGAGGAGGAGGAGGAGAAGGAGGAGAAGCCAGTGCCTGGCGGACACGGAGCTTTCTAAGCATGTGGCTTCTTTGCTGCCCACGAGGGGCCCCGGGCGCACTCCTTCCCTTTGCCCGCGCCCTCCTCTCCCTCCGTTGTCGCCTCCCCTTCTCTCGGCTTGCCCCCCTCCCTGCCTGCTCCCTCGCGCTCCTCCTCGCATCTTGACGCAACGCACGGTGCACGAGCGCTCGGTTTCGCATGCTTACGAAAGCGTGTATCGCGGCGCTGCCAAGGACGACTCAATGCTCCACATGCTCGATTGTCCTGTGTTTGGTGGCCTCGGGTTTGCCCTTGCCCTGCTCCCTTCCTCCTCCTCCGAGGCTGGTGGGGTTTCTCGTCTATGCCTTTGCGAACTCGCTCCTTGCTCGAACGAAGCCCTGATTTCCAGCGCCCTGTGCATCGACTTTGACTTGAGCTTTTGCCACAAGTTCACGTGCGACAGAACCCGCTCGCAGCCGAATCCTGGCCACTGCCATCGCCAGGGTCTCTCTCTCTCATGTATGTATGTATGTACGTATGCATGTATGCATGCATGCATGTAGGTATGTATGCATGCATGCATGCATGCATGTATGTATGTATGTGTGTGTATGTATGTATGTATGTATGCATGCATGTATGTATGTATGTATGTATGTATGTATGTATGTATACATGTACTGATGTATGTATGTATGCATGTATGCATGCATGTCTATATGCATATATGTCTGTATGCATGTATGTATGTATGCATGCATGCATGTATGTATGCATGCATGCATTCATGCATGTATGCATGTATATGTATGCACGTATGTTTGTATGCTCTGTATGTATGCATGTATGCATGTATGCATGTATGCATGTATGCATGTATTCATGACTGCATGAATGCATGTATGCATGTATGCAGGTATGCAGGTATGCAGGTATGAATGTATGCATGTATGCATATGTGCATGCATGCATGCATGTATGTATGTATGTATGTGCGTGCGTACGTATGCATTTATGTATATATGTATATATATGCGTGCATATGTGTACACATGTGTGCACGTATGTATGTATGCATGCATGCATGTATGTATGCATGTATGTATGTATGTATGTTTGTATGTGTGTATGCATGTATGTATGTATGTATGTATGTATGTACGTACGTACGTACGTACGTACGTATGTATGTATTTATGTATGTATGTATGTATATATGTATGTATGTATGTATGTATGTATGTATGTATGTATGTATGTATGTATGTATGTATGTATGTATGTATGTATGTATATAATGCATATACTGTATATATGTGTATATATGTATGTATGTATGTATGTATGTATGTATGTATGTATGTATGTATGTATGTATATATATATATATATATATATATATATATATTGCCGTGCACGAGGCCCAGGCGCCCGGGGCCTCCGGGGGGGCATGGGAGGGCCAGGGTTTCCCAGACAGCTCCCAGAGCACCCCGCAGGGGCCGTGGAGCCCCCAGACTGCCCCAGAGAGCTCCAAGACGCTCCCAGAAGCCACCGGGGGACTTCGACAAGCCCTTCCAAGTCAGCCCAGATGTCCCAAACGTGGCCCCAGATGGGTTCCAGACCGGACCGGAAATACACAGCCCCCCGAGAGGCCTTCCCGCCCACCCGCCCGCAATTTGATTTCAAAACCCATGCGGCGGCGATTGCGATGAGTGCTGGGCGTTGGCTGGTGCATCTCCGCGGCCCAGCTAGCCCCCGCATGCTCGCGCGCGCAGCGGCCAGCTAGTGCTGCGCGACCGACGCGACCGCAGCGGCTCTGACCGCTGGGCAGCGGCCCCATGGACAACCCGCGATTGCGCTCAACACGATCTCACAATAACAAGATTACCCCGCCCTCACTTCATGTTATGAGTATTGGTGGCCCTACGCGGATGATGATCAGCGGGCGCGTCAGTGAGAGTCGGTGACTTGGGCGGGCGCGGCTTCATGGCGACGGCAACGGTCGACGCGATGATGAGAGTAGCGATGGTGGTGGCGATGGTGGCGATGGCGACGGCGAGGCCAATGGCAGCGCCGACGTTGATCGCGCCCGCCGGTAACGATGGCGATGTCATCGCGTCGGCGATGGAAGCTTTTGAAAGAGTTCGCTATGTGCGCGCGGCCGACGCGCGCGGTCGGTTCCCGCGATATTTTTTGACGCGGATCGCTCCCCCCCCCCCCCCCCACACACACACACACAGCACGCGCGCAAGGGCGCTCGAATGATTTCGACGTGCGGCGTGAGAGGCCCGCGTGGTCGAATTTGATGGACATGTTTGAAATCCGATGATTTCTTTAAGAATCCGAGAGGGCGAGAGCCTCAAGCGCGGGATTTCTTGACGACTGATGTTGCAAAACCGTGCGCGTTTGATGTTTTCGGGGCGCTCAATTTCGAAATGATTGCGGCGCCCCCGGTTTTTTGAAAGATTCCGGCGCGCGCGCGACGACGCGCGCGCGCTTCGCCCCGTTGTTTTGCCGGAGGTTTCTTCGACAGCGCGCGCGCAAGGGCGTTTGAACGATTTCGACGCGCGCGCGAGAGGCCAATGTGGAAGCATCTCACGGGAATATTGAAACATCTGTGATTTTCTCGATTATTCGCAAGAGCGCGGGTGCAAAGATTGTTTGCACATTATTGTTGCAAAATCATTTTTTTATGTCTTCGCGACGCTCGATCTTGCAATCCTTGCGAAGCCACAAGTTTTGCAGGGGATTCGACACGCGCGCGCGACGACGCGCGCGCGTTCACGTTGTACTGTCTGTTGCAAGGGGTTCTTGAAAACTTATTATTTCCAAGAACGAGAGTGCGCGCGTATATTTTGTTCCAGGGGTTGGTGGGGGCGGGGGGGTCGATGCCGGTTGGGCTAGGATGGCATGAATTCTGATTTCGGGTGGACAAGGGATCGGGATCATATCTGCGTTCGCAAGCGAAACCAACGCTGGCAATGTCCAGGGCGGATGGGGGTAGAGAGTTTTTCTAGTAAACAAGGGGAATCGACATACTGCAGTTCACGTGGTGCAGTGTATGTGGTGCAGCATCTGCGGTGCACTCTCTATGGTGTAATTCAACAGTGCTCGCAGTGAGTTGACAACTCCGCTCCTCGCGCAATCATCCTACCCGCCCACCTGCAACTTGGTTTGCAAAACCCATGCGACTGCGATTGCGATGGGTGCTCGGCGTTGGCTGGTGCATCTCTGCGGCCGCGCTAGCCCGCCCATGCTCGCGCGCGCAGATGCCAGCTAGTGCTGCGCGGCCGGCGAAGCCGCGGTGGCGCTGGCCGCTGGGCACTTCCCAGCGGGCACTTCAGTGCGAGTCAGTGAGTTGGGCGGTCTCATGGGGGCGACGGCAGCGGTCGACGCGATGATGAGAGTAGCACTGATGGAGGCGATGGTGGCGGTGACGACGGCAAGGCCAATGGCGGTGCCAATGTTTATCACGCTCGCCGATAACGATGACGATGTCCTCGCGTCGGTGATGAAGCTTGTGGAAGGAGTTCGACACGCGCGCGTGGCCGACGCGCGCGAGTGGCTCGCATGGTATAGTTTGACACGGATCGTGCGCCCCAGCACGCGCGCAAGGGCGTTCGGATGACTTCGACATGCGGTGCGAGAGGCCCGCCTGGCAGAAATTGCTGACAATGGCGAACACCCTTTTGTTTACAGAAATCGCAAAAACGCGCCGTTATATATAAGATATATATATATATACACATTTTTATATATATGTGCATAAATGTATATGTATATATGTATAAATACATATATAGGTATACACATAAACATACATATATTCGTCGTATACATATTGATATATTGACACAAAAGTTAAAGCACAATGAAGAATACACATACGACACACAACCATTTTGCATATGTGTATATATATGGGTTTGGCTGGACACTCGTTTTTTTTTAAGTTTTGCGACACATGCGTTTTTTTTTTTTCGAAGCTGTCGGCATGCGGCGCGACGACGCGTGCGCGCGCACGTCGTCCCATTGTATTGCAAAAAGGTCTGTGCGACAGCACCCGCGCAACCGCGTTCGAACGTTTTCGACACGTGCGCGCCGAAGGTCCCGCTTGGTGGTCGCATTCTATGAAAGCGCTGAAACATTGTTTCCTCAACAAGCCGCCATAGCGCGAGCGCAGGCTTTTCTGAAAATCCTTGTTGCGATGTTCTTTATTACGCTTTCGCGACATTTGATTTCTGAATCCCTACGAAACGTACGGTTTTGGACGGATTTTGGCATGCAAGCGCGACGAGCCGTGCGTGTGCACTTCGTCCTTTTTTGGTTCACACGGGATGCTTGGAAACTTGCTGATGTTTGATAAGCGCGTGTGCGCGCATAGCACTTTTGCAGAGGATGACGGGGGGGTGGATGCCGGTTTATCTGGGGCGCCATGAACTCAGATTCAGGATTCACGAAAGGGGCAAACTCATATGTGACTTGCGCGTCCCTTGGGGGAGCCGATAAGTCCGGGGGGGGTGGACCCTAGTAGTTTTTGAGCAATGATAACCAGCGTGGTGCAATCTAGGCGGCGAAGGGCGGCGACGACGTGACGACGGCGAGGACAGAACCGCCTGACCGCCAGCCAGGCCAAGACGACGGGCGACGACGAGGCGGCGACGGAGCGGCGACGGCGAACACGGAACCGCCAGACCGACAACCAGGCCCAGACGACGGGCGGCGACGAGGTGGCAACGGGGCGGCGACGGGGCGGCGACGGTGATCACGGAACCGCCAGACCGACATTCACGGCCAGTTTCCCTAGAAGATAGGGAAGAAGTTCTGAGTGCAAGCGCTGTTTCGAGAATGACGAGTATGTGCTATCTATACACACATAAGTACATTAAATACTTATTTTCATTTTTTCGAATGCGAATGTGAATAGTGGCAGCACGAATCGTAATCGTAACTTTATACGAATGCGGATCGTTTATCACATATTTTGAGACACAACGTCATCAAACATAAGTATGGTGCCAGTGTTACCAAACATAGTGCTGGTCTAGAATTTCTCGCGAAGTTCCTCGCAGTAACACGGGACTTCTAACATATCTTGATACGAATAGTGATAACGATGCTGTTGTACTTCGTCCCGTTCGTATTACGAGCGACAAGACGCCAACATATGCCACAACTATTCCTTTTCTTCACAACAATACGAACACCACTGACATTGTGATTACGATTAAGGAACTCATCAATACACATCGTCATCATCTACCGTAATATCATTGCACATGTGCTTTCATTTTTACGCAGGCAAAAACACATCATGGCGCGCGGAGGCGCGCGCGCGCTTCTGCGCTGCCAGGCGGCGTCGCGGCGGCGGGCGACGCGCCACCGTGGAGGCGCCCGCGCCGAGGCCCCTCGCGACGCCGCGGCTCGCCCGGTTCAGGCGGCTGGGGCCGCACCGCGCGTAGGCGGCGGCGGCGCCGCCGCCTGGATCCGCCATACTCGGGTCCATCGTGCGCTTACATCTCCCAGGGTGCGCGCTGCTCATGATGGTGGGGAGAGTACAGACCTGGGGTCGAGGACTCCCCAGGAAGAGCAGCGGTATCGGCACCCTTTCCACATGCGGCGACCGACCGATCTGTTTGGACGGGGTCCGAGTACATGGGGTCGGAGGACTGCTCCGCATCGCCGTTGCATCGTCGATGCAGCTCGATGTGGAGCCCCACTGTCGCCTCGCGAATGTCGCCGATGCATCGCCGACGTCGCCGATGCATTGGCGATGCGGCGCGATCCTCGGACCCCATCTACTCGGCCCCCATTTGGAAGGCCTCTAGACGGGCGGCGTCGCTGGTGTCGGCGCCGCCGCACCCTGGCTCCAGATTCTGTGCTTCTCCGTGCTCTGGCTGAATGTACTACGTTTTGAAATCATGTCGGAAGCGTGCCACGAAAGATGCGAACAAGTGGGGCGGAGATCTCCGCCTTAGAAGCGCGGGGTGAGTATTTCCGCAAGGCTACGGCAGGCACAGCGGCGGCAGGGCGGAAATCGGCACCAAAGGAGCCTGAAAGGTAGGGCAGAACCTCGCCCTACCTGGGCGGTAGGGCGATTTCGTGTAAGTAAGCGGGCCGCCCTCCTATTCAGATAGGGGGACTTCGTAAGTCAGCTGGGCCGCCCTACTTTTCAGATGGGGCGATTTCGTAAGTTGGCCAGGCCGAGCTACTTTTCAGATGGGTCGATTTCGTAAGTAGGGCGGGCCGCCATATTTTTCAGATGGGGCCATTTCGTAAGTAGGCCGGGCTGCCCTACTTCTCAGATGCGGCGACCTCGTAAGTATGCCTGGCCGCCTTACTTCTCAGATGGGGCGATTTCGTAAGTAGGGCGGGCCGCCCTACTTCTCAGATCAGGCCATTTTGTATGTAGGCCAGCTCACCCTACTCCTGGGGTATGGTGATTTCGCACGTAGGAAGGGGTGTTGTAGTTTCAGATTAGGTGATTTCGTGAGTGGGGCTGGCCGCAGTACTACTTAAAAGGGGCGATTTCGTAAGTTGGCGGGGCCGCCCTACTTCTCAGATAGGACGATTTCGTAAGTTGGCGGGGCCGCCCTACTTCTCAGATAGGGCGATTTCGTAAGTAGGGCGGGCCGCCGTAGTTTTCAGATGGGGCGATTTCGTAAGTTGGCCAGGCCGAGCTACTTCTCAGATCGGGCGATTTCGTAAATTGGCGGGGCCGCCGTAGTTTTCAGATGGGGCGATGTCGTAAGTACGCTGGGCTCCCCCACTTTTCAGATATGGCGATTTCGTAAGTAGGCCGGGTTGCCCTACTTCTGAGATGGTGCGATTTTGTAAGCAGGACGGGTTGCCCTACTTCTCAGATAGGACGATTTCGTAAGTAGGCCGGGCCGCCCTTTTTTCAGATATGGCGATTTCCGAAGTAGGCCGGTCTGCCCTACTTCTCAGATCCGGCGTTTTCGGAAGTAGACGGGGGGATTGTGTAAGTAGGCTGGGCCGCCCTACTTCTCTGACATTGCGATTTTATAAGTAGGACGGGCCCCCATAGTTTTCAGATGCGGCGATTTCGTCAGTAGGCCGGGCCGCTCTGCTTCTCAGATAGGGCGATTGCGTAAGAAGTCCAGGACGCCGTAGTTTTCAGATGTGGCGATTGTGTAAGTGGGCCGGGTCGCCGTACTTTCCAGATGGGGCGATTTCGTAAGTGGGCCGGGCCGCCGTTGTTTTGCAGATAGGACGATTGTGTAAGTAGGATGGGCCGTCCTACTTCGCTGATATGGCGATTTCGTAAGTAGGCCTGGCCGCTGTAGTTTTCAGACGAGGCGATTTCCTCAATAGGCTGGGCCGCCCTACTTCTCAAATAGGGCGATTGCGTAAGTAGGTCGGGCCGCCTACTTTTCAGATGGGGCGATTTCGTTGGTATGCCAGGCCGCCCTGCTTCTCAGATACGGCGATTTCGTAAGTAGGCCGGGCTGCCCTATTTTTCAGACGGGGCGATTTCGTAAGTAGGCCAGGCCGCACTACTTCTGAGATAGGGCGATTTCGTAAGTAGGCCGGGCCGCCTTACTTTTCAAATAGGGCGACTCCGTAAGTACGTCGGGCCGCCGTATAGTTTTCAGATCGGGCGATTTACTTAGTAGGCGGGCCGCCCTACTTTTCAGATAGGGCGATTTCGTAAGTAGGGCGGGCCGCCCTACTTTTCAGATGGTGCGATTGTGTAAGTAGGGTGGACCGCCCTACTTCTCAGATAGGGCGATCTCGTCAGTAGGCCGGTTTGCCCTACTTTTCTGATCTTGCGATTTCGTAAGTAGGCCTGGCCGCCCTACTCATCAGATAGGGCGATGTTTTGAGTTAGCCCGGCCATAGGGCGATTGCGTAATTGGGGCGGGCCGCCCTTTTTCCAGGTGGGGCAATATCGTAAGTATGTCAGGCCGCCCTACTTTCCAGATAGTGAGATTTCGTAGGTAGGCCGGGCCGCCATCAGATGGGGTGATATCGTTAGGAGTTAGGCCGAACCGCCCTACTTCTCAGATAGGGCGATTGCATAAGCAGGCCTGGCCGCCTACTTTTCAGATGGGGCGATTTCGCAAGTAGGCCGGGCCGCCCTGCTTCTCACATGGGGCGATTTCGTTAGTAGGTTGGGCCGCCCTACTTCTCAGATGGGGCGATTTCGTGAGCAGGGCGGGCCGCCCTACTCCTCAGACGGGGCGATTTCGTGAGCAGGCCGCGCCGCCCTGTCCCACTTCTCAGATGCTGCGATTGCTTCAGCTGGGCGGGCCGCCCTGCCTCCCAGATGGGGCGACCTGCGTAAGCGGGGCGCGCCGCCCTGCTCACGACATCGCCCAGAGTACGGCGGATCCGGGGCCGGGGCGGGGCCGCGCCGCGCGCCTGCCGGCGCCAGCGTGGCAGGTTCGAGGCTCGAGTCTTTTTGTTCCGTGCGCTGTCGTGGGCTTTTCTCGGGGGCTCATGTTCGGGCGTCTTCGGCGTGCGCTGTCGTGGGGTTCTCCGTGCGCTGTCGTGGGGTTCTCTGGGGGCTCGAGGCTCGACACGTTCGGGCGTCTTCGGCGTCTCCTCGGGGGGTGCTCCTGCCTCGCGGTGCGTTCCGGCAGCCGCGCCTCCCCCGGAACGTGTTTTTGGGGGTGCCTGGATCGTCCCAAACGGCCGCCTGGAGCCCGAGCTACGATCCGAAAGCTGAGGTCAGGAAGCATGCCGATTCGATCGATCAGGTCCGATGCGGGTCCGATTCTCGTACTCCGATGGCCCGATGTGCGGCCCCATGCTCGCATGGCGTTACTTTACATCCTGGCGCGGTCGATCCGATCCGATCTCGACTCCGTGCCAATACAGATCAAGCCGACACACACATGTCGAATCGATCCGATTTCCCGATTCGATGCTGATTGGTCTTGCCGCCGCCGTCGTCCTACAGTTGTCGGCGTCGCCGCCACTGGGGGCAGGAAGTGAAGGGAGGTGGTCCTTCTCCCTCCCTCCCTCCCTCCGTCTTGGAGCATGGGACGCCCGAAACAGCGAGAGCGCTAAAGTCCTTCAAAACATATCCTGGCGAAGGAGCCAGCCATATGCAGTTGTGAGTGCCGTCGGAGTGAGTATCGCCTTCGTTGGGTCTCCTTTTGTGGTCACGAGGCGTGCGAAGAGTGTGCCGACGTGGGGCGGGGCGGCCATGCGGGCGCTGCCACTGGGGCTTTCTACAGTCAACCCGTATAGGAAGGATGGGCAACCTTTCCAAGGCTACCCTTGCATCCTTGTCCCTTCGGCCCATCCTTGGTAATTTTCGCTGGCCAACCTCGTTCGAAAAACACTCTCCAATGCCCTTGCATCCTTATCGCGCATCCTCACTATACTGGCTGACTGTATACAGCTAGCTCCCTATGTGGCCACGAAGCGCGTGAGAGGTGTGCCAAAATGCGGCGGGGCCGCCATGCGGGCGCTATTGCTGGGGCCTTCGGTCGAGCTCCTTGTGCGACTACGAAACATGTGAGGGGTGTTCCGAAATGGGTGGGGCGGCCACGTGAGCACACCGCCACCTGGGGCCCTCGGTGGAGTTCCCCGTGGAGTAGCGAAGCGTGTGTCGAAGTGGGTGGGGCGGCCGCTTCTGGGCACCGCCACGGGGGCCCTTGGTGGAGCTTTCACGAAGCGCGTGCGGGGTGTGCCGAAACGGGTGGGGCGGCCGCATGTGGGCACCGCCACAGGGGGCCTTCAGTGGCGCTCCCTAAGGGGCAACGACCAGACAGCAAACGACACCACCCCACCTGCGGCCCTCCATGTTGCGCTACGGCCCATCGGGGGCCGTAGCGCATACCACGCAAGAACCCAAGCCAGATTTCCTGGGATGCGCTGAGACTCTTGGGGCCGTAGGTCAGGTGGTGTCGCTTGTTTTCTGGTCCGACGAAGCGTGTGAGGGGTGTGCCGGACTTGGTAGGGCGGCCGCATGCGGACACCGCCACGGGGGCCTTAGGTGAAGCTCCATATGGGGCCACGAAGCGTGTGAGGGGTGTGCCGAAACGGGCGTGACGCCCACATGCAAGCGTCGCCACTGGGGCCTCAGGTGGAGCTCCCTATTGGGCCAGGAAGCGTGTGAGGGGTGTGCCGAAACGGTTGGGGCGGCCGCGTGTGTACACGATGAAGCTCCTGATGAGGCCACGAAGCGCGTGGTGAGGTGTGCCGAAACGAGCGCGACCCCGACATGGGGACGTCGCCATTGGGGCCTTAGGTGAAGCTCCCTATGGGGCCACGAAACGTGTGAGGGGTGTGGACACCGCCGCTGGTACCCTCGGTGGAGCTCCCTACTGGGCCACAAAACGTGTGAGAGGTGTGCCGAAACGGGCGTGACGCCCACATGCGAACGTCGCCACTGGGACCCCAGGTGGAACTCCTTATGGGGTCACGAAGCGCGTGGTGAGGGGTGTGCCGAAACCGGCGCGACCCCCACATGGTGACGTCGCCATTGGGGCCTCAGGTGAAGCTCCCTACCGGGCCACGAAACGTGTGAGAGGTGTGCCGA